TCCCCCAGTTCCAAGGATATACTTTATGGGGTTATTGCATGTTTTGGGGTCCCTGTGATGTGTTTTATGAAACTGTATTTCTCTGGCTGTGATAATTAGATTACCCATTGTGTTCAGTAATCATATCACAGCCAGAGGGGAGGATTTTGTGTGGGAGTGTCTGGGTGTATTGTATGGATTGATTGGCTGTTTTGTAACGCCCTGTGGGCTGTACTATGTTTGTGGATTGGGAATAAAAGAGACTGTATGTGACAGTACAGGGAGTTCCTGTTTTAACCCTCAAAGTGAAGTGTCGTCTCATTATTGGGGGAAGGATTTATTGTATGCTGTTCCAGTTTGACTTCTAGGAGAGTAAACCTATTCGTATGGTTCCTATTCAACTGTCTACAGCATTCATATGCTTGAGAGAAGGTATACGCTTCTCTGGTTCGGTGATTGTGGTGTCAGCTGCAGTGATTGGAGTCCTCAGGAAGCGCTAGGAGCATCTTTCAACGGAGGTACCCAGTCGGGGTGCCAGGCGATCCGTTACGGCTACTTATTACCTTTTTTACTTATTACCTTTCCATTGTGCTCTCCCCCCATTGCACTCCCTGTAAGCTGAGTGCACTGGGATTTTGTTATCTCCTGTTGTGTTTTTGAGGGTTGCCACCTCCTAGAGAGCACCGTTTAGGTAACCTTCCTCCAATTTTTAGAGGCATGGTTCTGTACTACCCTCCTCCCTCTCTTTTGGAGGTGTGTGGGGGTTATCAAATCTAGTGTGTTTTTAACGTTCTTAAACTTTTTTTTTTTAACTGATTTAATTAACACTTGTGCTAACATTTTAGTGGGAACTGCCTAATTTATTTTTAAAGATTCCTATAATTACATTGGTATACTTTTTCTTTTTAGTTGTATTTTCCCAATACATTCCAGTAGGGTTCTAAATGTAGTAAGCTATGAGATTCTGCAGCATGTTTTATTTTCATATTACGTGCTAAAGCTCATCTTTTATTATGTCTAGAAATTATTGGTATCTGTTTTGAAGGTGTCTTGATTGGTATCTGCTTTATTTATTTATAAAGTAATAGATAAAAGTTCCTCTAACCCAGTGGCTCCCAAACCACTTCTCACTTCCACCTTACCAGTCCAGGATTTAGGGATTATCCAGTTGTGTCTAAAGAGTTTTAAGATGAAAAAAAATATTGTGATAATACCTGATTACCATATGTTTCTTAAAGGAACATTAAGTGTTAGGAATACAAACACTGGTTTGTTTCTCTGTTTCTGCCCTCTCCCCTATTCAAGGGTTAAAAACAAAACAACAAAAACACACCTTTAACTTACCTGATTCCTGTGACGATGTCTCTTGGTGCTGAGTCAGGCTCCTCCTTTGTAGACATCAGCCGATTGTGGGAACTTAATGCGCATGCATGGCAAGCGCTCTTCGCGCATTTGGCCTTTCCCGTAGGAAAACATTTACTCAATGCTATGGGGTTTTGCCTAGCGCTGGATGTCCTAATGCACAGCATGAAGATGTCCAGTGTCGTTTCATGGAGGCAAACTGTAGTGACCCCTTTGGCATCGAGTAAAGAAAGGAGAAGAGAGCTTCTGACGGGTGCCGGATTTCTTTCTTTGCATAGAAGTGTGCAGGAATGCTCTGAACACCACCAATGTCAATGTCTTTAGCACCGAGCACCATAAGCACCGTGAAAACTGTAATAGGACATACAAATACATTTGTTTACAGAGTTTCATCGAAAGGGTTACAAACAGGATAACAAAAAAGTGTAGTTCAGATTTCTGCATACATATATATCTGTATTACATTAAAATTTCAAGGGATACTGTGATGGGATTCCAGCATGGTCAAAATTTAGTAGGCCAAAATCTCCATGTGGCATATGTGTATGTTGTGTCAGTTGGTTAGCTACATGTAGCTAGGATACTGTCATCAGTGTACTGAGCATGTGCAGGAATGCAGGAACTGAAATTGCACTTATTTCCTTTGTCTTGGATGAGCCATGTGGTTTGACTAGATGTACAAGTCTATATTCTGCTCATTGATTGGTTAAAGGTGTATGTGGGTGTAGCTATTAATGGGAGGAGTTATAGTGCTATATAAGGAATGTACACTATGTGTTGGTCTCTCAGAATGTTGGAACAGGAGTTCATCTGAGACCCGATCGGTAATGTGAATAAAGGCCTCTTACTTCCTGAAGACCTGTGTCCAATATCTATGTGTTTGGCTTCTGCATGCTTACACTCCAACATTTCTGGTGCATTGGCAGCCGGGAACCTCATCGCACGGAAGCTAGCGCAGAGATTTGAGACGGTAAACTTTTACCACACCTTCTACGCTACAATCCTGGACTTCTACTGCGTGGTCCTCCTTTCGTCTCGGCGCCACTGGCCTTTTGTCCAGGAGATCATCGGCTTCTGCGCAGTGAGTCCCGGATTGTTCCGTCTATGAGTGAACCCAGGTCCAGAAACTAACAGGTAATATTGATACCGTTAGAGCGGTAGACCCACAAGGGGTTATATATTTGGAACCGGTTATTGGAATCTGCCCTGTCCTAATGGATGGAAGAAGCGAAAAGCGCAACGCTTATCTGGAAATTAGACGCTCTGTAGTCAGCCCGTCTAATATAGGTGGTTTGGGTCAGACTGAGTTCTGGTGTGAATAGCTCATGTCGGACACCGGTGTCCTGTCTTGACTAGCGTATCTAGGGTGTAAATTTTGTTCGCTAGGTCGGGGGGACCGGGAGACTAGCATACTCTGTTGTATATTATAGTTTGCTAGATTTCACCCTATCTTAACTAAGTGTGCTCTGTTGTAAATCCAGCCACTAGCTTATTGATGGTTTCATAGACTAGCTGGGTACTGTGTAAATTCTGCCCTCTAGTTCGCTATACGTGGTGTCTGGGCAGCGAAGAACTTATCGAATCTCTGGTGTATAAATAGATCGAAAGCTCTCGAGGTGCTGGCCAGTTAGAATAGTTGGGATTATTGTAAATGTTGTTAAATATATTGTAGTTGGTGAATTGGTTAACTTGTATGTCCTACTAGAAAGTTAGAGCTCTGCTGTCTAGTGGGAGTGTAAATTGTGTGTATAACTGTAAAATAGCGCACGGTACCATAACTACTGACATGTACCATAACCACTGACATTGTGTAAAAATTACTAACAATTGCTGTTTTATGTTATATGTATAATACCATAACTGTTACTAACTGATCTGTGACTTTAAAACTGTATTATAACCACTTACTAACTGTACCATAACCACTGACTGTAAAGATGAGGTTACTAGAATGTGATATAGTTGGTTAGTCAAAAGTTGATTTATAGCACGGATAATTGTAGAGATGAAATTGTTGAAATGCTATGTGATCGGTTAGTTTATATGGATTAATAGCGTGGATAGTTGTATGGTTTGAATAATAGTTACATTGATAAGTGTATAGTCTTTGGTGGGTTTTTGATTTAATTTCGTGTGTGCGACGTCGTGATATTGTTGAGCATGTGAGGATCCTGTGTGTGTTTGGGCCTAGTAAGGAGATTGGTGTGACTGTTGAAACTGTGTGTATATTTGTACAGCTTTTTGAATCAGACGTTCTGTTGCAATGATCTTCTGATTCACAAGGCTGGTCTTTGTCTTGTATGTTTAAAAAAAAAAAAAAGTAGGGAGTAGCCTGTCCTGGTGGCTGCATGGCCTCCATGTAGCAGTCTTCACTTAAATTTAGTGCAGGGTGTACATGTGGCTGTAACTAGTAGGCTGGAATTCTATGATCAGTTTCTATATATTGACTGTTGGAAACTGATTGTTGAAAAACTGCCTTGGTGAGTTAAACTGTGTCATATGAGAAACAATGTAGCCATATGGTGGTCAGAACTAAGGCCTTACTTACAACTGCTTTGGACATCCCCTCCCCCCTGGCATCTGATTACCAACCCCCCTATTCATCCTCCAGAGCCAGAGTAGCTACGCCCCTATTCTTCTTCCCAAGCTAAAAACTGGTATATAGTCAGTATTTGCACTCCCCCTGCTCTACTGTCCCCGCCTACCCACATACCTATCTGTTCCTGTGTTTCAAACTCTTGTATTTCTGTACTACCCCTCCCCCTAATCAATGATCAATGGTATCAGATGGTATATGGTTTTTTTTAGTTACTGGATGGGCCCCTCCCAGCTTTGTCCAAAATGTCCCCTTTTACTAAACTACAAACTGAAATGTTTAATTTACCTTAGAACTAAAGATTTAATCAAGCCTAGATATCAGGGTGGACAGTGATTAAAATAAGTAATAATAAAATAGGGACATAATTAATTAAAGTCTATCTGTTTCATTAGACTTTAGGGAGGCACTCTAGGCCACCTACTGGCCATCTTCGGGAGTTACATTGATAATACATTGTTTATAACAGATAGAAGTAGGATTGCTTACCCTATTTTAATATATTTATTGCTATAAGGTTTTAATTTATGTATAAATATATTAAAAGTTGAGTTTTCTTATTAGACCCAGATTATTTTGATACAATTACCCTCTGGTGACACCTACTGGTAGGTTTTTGGTTTAACACTTTAAACAAAAATGTTTTTTCATCCACCAAATGCTGACTAATAAAATTAGCTCACCCCCTTACACCTATCTTACTACTCCTAGACTGGAACCTATTATTGAGCAGCCTTGCCGAAGTCCCATATTAGACACTGCTTGAGTCAAATAGATTGTACACTCCTTTCAATCCTGAAGCCCCTGAAAACTTCCGAATGATAGACTCAGCATTTGTCAGCCAGGCCCAAGGTGATATTAAAAGGAAATTACAGAAATTAGAGGGATTTGTAGGGATGTCCATATTACAGCTAATGGAGATTGCAAATACAGTATATATGAATAGGGAGACGGAGGAAGAACGTAAAATGAGGAAAAAGGCAGATATGCTAGCGGTAGCTATCTTAAGTGTAGAAAGACAGGGAAGTGAATAGAGGAGACGAGAATAGGCTGAGCAAGGGACCTTTAAGTAGGAATTAATGTGCGTATTGTAGAAAGGAGGGACATTGGAAGAGTGAGTGTCCACAGAGAGAGCAGTATGAAGGTGATAGACAAGGAGAGAGAAGGGTACGAGGAGGTTATAGTGGTAGTTATAGAGGAAGAGGAAATTTTAGAGGGAATGATGGGAATAGTAGAGGAAGTGTTCAAGGAGACAGATACTATCCACCCACGCAGAGACCTAAAGAAAGAGAGGATAGAGATTTTGTGGGTCTGGCTGATACTATCATGGAAGACTATTGTTACCGACCGGGCTCCATCCCACTTGGTCAAGCGGAGCCTATGGTCGATGTAGCAATAGGGGGAAAGAGAAGTTCTTTCATGATCGACACAGGTGCTGAACACTCTGTGGTGACTAAGATGGTGGCTCCACCTTCGGGGAAGACTATAACTGTGATAGGAGCTACTGGGAGAAGTGCAGCTAGACCGGTTCTTAAGAGTCGCACTTGTATTCTGGGAGGCCATGTGGTGAAGCATTAGTTCCTATATATGCCAGAGTGTCCGATTCAACTTTTAGGACGAGATCTATTATCGAAGCTTTAAGCTCAGATAACCTTTTACCTAATGGATCAACATCTCTGAAGTTTAAGGGATTACCAGGCATAATGGCGATATCGGTGCCGAGGGAAGAAGAATGGCGCTTCTATTCCATAGTGACAAGTGTTAACCCTAAGAGTGGTGAATCCTTACTTGACATTCCAGGAGTATGGGAAGAAAATAATCCTCCAGGACTTGCTCGTAATATCCCACCAATACATATTGAGTTAAAGCTCGGGGTGTATCCTATTAGCCTTTGTATGTTGTTCTTTTATCTACCCCAAAAGCTGTAAAGGTGGCGGAAGTGACTCCTTGGATTCATAATTCTAAGGTTAAACCAGCAGCAGACTCTTGGCAAGCTACTCCAGATCCTGAGAATCCTTGCAGGACCCGGTTGAAGCGTGCAACTCAGTCGGAGTGACGAGGGGATATCGAGACATTCTAGTTAAAAGTCTACAAAGATCATCAAGTAGGTGTTTTGACGGCCATAATAAAGCCTGACCACCTGCCTACGTGTCATAGCCAGAGTATCTTGAAGGGATCTCTGTGAAGGAAAGTGAGGATCAGAAGAACAACATCCTTGCAGCCCTCACAATCGGGAAGCTGAGAGGCCATTGCACGGTCGAAGAAAAATGAGGATTTCAGGAATAATGTGTTTTATTATGTCTTAGTATTTTTATGATTTTTTTCAGGAAGGTAGGAGTACAGACATACCGAATTGCGATAGTTGCATTAAGACTACAAAAACAGGTAACCAAATATCCCAAACTCTCATCTGGCACTCACAGTATGAATGTAAGGGATCTGTATCTAAATGTAGATATTTGGATATTGATTATAGTGTGTGCAAGCAAATATAAGGAGAGTCTAAATGTTTTGATCCCCAATTCCAACCCCGTACAATTTGGTTGGTAATTCGGAATAGTAACTCCCAGGGGACATTAATAAATAGGACTGTGATAAGCACCATACATTCCACGGGTATTCTACTATTTGATGCATGTAAGGCGATTTCGGGTAGTGGAAGACTTTGGAATGTATGTGGTAATCTTAAATGGGAACGAACTTATGGGTTTAATGATAAATACTTATGTCCCAGTAAAAGATCTACTGATCCTGATTGCCCAAATAGAGACTAACTTCTGCCCCTATTGGTCATGTGTAGGTTGGGCAACCTGGGAAAAACAGTGGATCAAGATATGATTATCCAAAGGTTGCCTACCACACCATACTGTAAAACTATGTGTGTAACCCCGTTCACATGACCATTTCCAATCTGCAGCACTTTATTGACAGGTTTGGAGGTCTGTTTGGGTTCCAAATATATGGCACAGGAGTAGATTCAGGAACAATAATATATGTAGGTCTTGAAACTGAGACAGTGGCAACTCAAACTCATCAGGTTTCTCATTCCTTCTATGAGGAGATGAGTGTTGAGGATAAAATTCCCCATAATGTTAAGAACCTATTTATTGATTTGGCTGAGGGTATTGCAGGTAGTCTTAATGTAACTAATTGCTATGTGTATGGAGGTACCAATATGGGAGACCAGTGGCCATGGGAGGCAAAGGAAATATGGTACCCTGGCTCTGAGACATATGAACAACAGATACCTTTCCAGTCTGATCATCAAGTAAGTACTAGAAGTAAATTGGAATGGTGGTTAAAAACCTCCATTATAGGTCATGTTTGTATAGCCAGGAAAGGGACAATGTATAACACGTCTGTAGGTGAGCTAACTTGCTTGGGACAAAAAGCCTATAATGTTAATACTAAAAATACTACTTGGTGGTCAGCTTCAAATGTCTCGGAACCTACTAATCCATTTGCCAATTACACTCATTTAAAGGAGGTATGGTTTGACTTATCGGCTACATCTAGTTGGAAAGCCCCAGCAAATTTATACTGGATTTGTGGTAAGAAAACTTATTCGGAGTTACCACAAGATTGGGAAGGGGCATGTGTATTAGGTATGCCAAAGCCATCCTTCTTCTTGTTGCCAATCGAAACAGGAGAGACCTTGGGAGTTAAGGTTTACGATGTAAATCATAAAAGGGAGAGAGCATCCTTGAATTGTGGGGATATTTATGGGATAATAATAGTAACAGTGAGAATTGCCCACTAATTCAATTCTCAGATCCCAAAGAACGTTTATCGTGTTAAGTGGAATGTATTTCATATAATAATATCACAATGTATAAAAATAGATTTTTATTTATGATAACCAATAATTAACAAATAATATTATGTAACATGCATAACAATAATCAATGAATATCCAGTATAAAATGGTATGCAATACAAAGGAATGGGTATTACGTTTCAATGGCTAAAACAGCATTATCTGTCAAGACTTATTTATTACCATCTTTAACACAGACTGAAAGTAAAACTTTTCACACAGAGAACAGAATTCCTCAGAGTGCAGCGTAAGGTCGTAAAGTTTAGCAGACAGTTAGAATAACTCTTTCAATGCTGGCTAGATCTCCTAGGTAGTTAAGATCTATTCTTATGTAATTTTTAAATAAAATAACATTTAAACCAGTTCATTAGTCATTTCCTTAAACCATCCATAAGAGAATTTAATATATTATATAAGCAGATTTTTAATTTGTCTAAAAGATATCTATCTTAATTTAGAGCAAATCAATACACCTGGATAAAAACAGCGGTATGCTAACACGCGATAATATCACATCAATATATAATCATTCTTAATTCCACCTGCAGAATGGAATGTTTATAACTATATATTCTTAGTTAACTAAGATTTCTTAATATGGAAATCTGACCTTGCTTTATCCAGTCATATATAATGCTATTAATACATTTTAATTAATTTAATTTAATTAAATGAAACCAGTATAATTACCAGTTGAGTAGATATTTCATCCGATTGGTAGTCTCTCTGCATGGAGGTGTTGGTTAGAAAGTCAGTAAATTCTAAGTGTTAGAGTTTTAGGAGTAGAATGTTAGTCTCAGATGTTGTCCGAGTTGGAATCCCCAAACTTCCAATTCCTCTCTTTTCTCTTTTGCATATCTTGCATCTGCCTCCTTCGTATTCTTGTATATCTATCTTCCCTTTGTCTTAACTTTTAAAGGGCCAGACTCTCTGTACGTCATCAGTTGATAACCCAATAGAAGCACTAGAGGTGTGGTTATCTTCCAGATCGCAAATTAGTTACTTGGTCTGTAGAGGGCAGTCTTGTCCCACTAAACATACCTATCCAGGAAAGAGTTAACTTTTCCTGGTGGCTATTTTGACGTCATTTTGGCCTATCTAGATAGTGCCATAATTTAAAATTTCAAAGGGTTTCTTAAATTTTGTCCAGACTTAGCGTCTGCAATTCCTGCCATAATTTCTGATATGACAGATCATGAACTAAGTTTACCCTTTTCCATACAATGGTACCTTATATGTATAGACAGTTAAATATTAAATTATTTAATCTTCTCTGTCACAATTGTCTGGGTTTAGATTTGATTATATTCTTTTAGCATTAGACAGTCTGTCCAACCCCCTTCCTTATCACTTGTTTATACTATGCATTCCTTAGCTCTGGCAAAGAGGCCAGTCTTATAGAAAGAAATCTAGTGTCTTCTTTGTTAACTTGAAATAACAAAATGGAGTCTGGTCTGTTCAGAGTGACTCAGAATATACACTTTTAGTTTCTATCATAGCACAAAATGTCTGCCGATATAAATACTCTGACAGAATATAGGTAGCTGGGAAGATAATGAGTGGCCCCCTCAACGTATTATTAATTATTATGGACCTGCTACTTGGGCAGAAGATGGCACTTATGGATATAGAACTCCGATATATATGCTCAACCGCATTATTAGACTACAGGCGGTAGTTGAGATTATTACTTATGAGACAGCTCAAGCGCTTAATCTTCTAGCTAAGCAAAATACCAAGATGTGATCAGCCATATACCAGAATAGGTTAGCCCTTGATTACTTACTAGCAGTAGAAGGAGGTGTATGCGGAAAGTTTAATCTAAGTAACTGTTGTCTGCACATAGATGATGAAGGGCAGACAGTGGCTGAACTTACAAGCCACATGGTTAAATTTGTGCATGTACCTACTCAGGTCTGGAATGGGTATAACCTAAGTAGTTGGTTTGGAAGTTGGTATGAGCAGCTTGGAGGAATTAAGACATTAGTAGGAGGAGTAGAATTTATTTTATTTTTGTGTGCCTCCTCCTGCCCTGTCTAATTCCATTAGTGGTCAGGTCCCTACGTAGTATTATAGAGAGTACTATAGAGAGAAAGACAGCGGCTCATGTAATGGCTGTCTGGAAGATATGATCCCCTAGCCCGAAGAGAATATATTCAGGATGAAGAATGCTGAAGGAGTTTTTAAGATGCTTACAAGGTCTACTCTGGTTCAATGGCTACTTGAGAGATGTAGGTAAAACTGTGATTGGTGATGCATCTGGAATAATGTTATATCAGAGGCATCAAAAGGGGGGAATGTGATGGGATTCTAGCATGGTTAAAATTTAGTAGGCCAAAATCTCCATGTGGCATATGTGTATGTTGTGTCAGTTGGTTAGCTACATGTAGCTAGGATACTGTCATCAGTGTACTGAGCATGTGCAGGAATGCAGGAACTGAAATTGCACTTATTTCCTTTGTCTTGGATGAGCCATGTGGTTTGACTAGATGTACAAGTCTATATTCTGCTCATTGATTGGTTAAAGGTGTATGTGGGTGTAGCTATTAATGGGAGGAGTTATAGTGCTATATAAGGAATGTACACTATGTGTTGGTCTCTCAGAATGTTGGAACAGGAGTTCATCT